TACATCCTCAATCACTCCCAAAGATCTTTTCATAGTACGATCAGCCATTTGCAATCTCATAGAGGTGGGTCTTGGTTGCCTAATTCCCAAGGTCTTGAAAACTGAATAGGGCATCAAATTAATACTTGACCCAAGATCACAAAGAGCTTTAGCAAACTCGAAACTTCCAATTGTACAAGGAATCATGAAAGCACCGGGATCCTTCAACTTAGGAGCCATTGAATGCATAATTGCACTCACTTGATGAGTGACTTTGATAGTTGCAAAATTCATGGACCACTTCTTTGTCACGAGATACTTCATAAACTTTACATAACCGGGCATTTGTTACAAAGCTTCTACTAATGGCACATTGATTGATACACTCTTCATCATTTGAATGAACTTCTTGAATTAATTCTTGCCATCTTGTTTGGAAAGTCTTTGAGGGTATGGAGGTGGAGGCGTAGGCAATGGTGCCTTAGCCTTTTGCACTACCGGCTCTGGTATGTCAATAATTGTATCCCTAAACGGGTTCACCTCCTCTTGAGCCTCTTTCTCACTATCATCAATACCAATCCGAACTTCATCATTTGACTGTGCCATGTCATTCCGGACCTATTCTTCTTGTACCACTAGCTCATCATCCACAAGTTGCTTTTGACTTGAGGTGGGTGCATTCCCACCTCTTCCACTTCTTGTAGTATCGGCCATGGCATGCCCCGTGTTGTTTCCACCCTTTAGGTTTACTACCATGACACTTGGTAGTGCCCCCTTAGGATAAGAATTTAGAGCTTGAGAGATTTGCCCCATTTGAACTTCTAAGTTACGGATCTATGTGTTGTATGAGGCAAGTTGGGCATCTAAATCGACATTCTTTTCCATCATTTTCTTGAACATATTCTCAATAAGCCCCATCTCATTGTTTAAAGAACTCGGACCATGGGAAGGATAAGGAGGCGGGTTGCTCAGTTGTTGATAAATCGGGGGACTTTGAAAACCCGACCCCTGATTGCCTTTATTGTTGTTCCATTCGCCTTGATTGTTACCCCCTCTCCCCTCCCCCGCCACTCCTATTTCCTTGATTAATGCCACTTCAATTTCCTTGATTGTTGTTTTTATGCCAATTCCCTTGATTGTTGCCACCTCTTCAATTTCCTTGATTGTTGTTGTTATCCCAATTCCCTTGATTGTTACCACCACTCCAATTTCCTTGGCTGTTAGAATTCCAATTGCCTTGATTGTTTTGAGGTGGCCATTGTTGTTGGTTTGGGCCTTGGAAGTTGTTTCGTTGCCCTTGAAAGTTGTTCACATATTGCACATCCTCTTCTTGTTCATTGTAAGAATCATCTTTATCAAAACCACTATCATCTTGCACATGATTCTTTGCTTGATGTTGCACTTGTGGACCCTTGGTCCTTCTTTCGCTCACCATCATGTTCACTCCCTCAGTGGCATTGACTTTCTTAGTATTTTGCACTTGTTGAAGTTGAGCCTTTGTAATTGATTCATGGTGGTAATAAATTCGGCAATGGCTTGCCCATGGTCATGCAACTCTTTGTGAAGGTGGATCACGTTCGGATCGCCTTGTGGAACATTATCCTAGGATTGCCACGCCGATGATGTTTCTACCATTTCATCTAAAATCCCACACGCCTCCTCATAAGGCATAGTCATGAAGTTCCCACCAGTAAGTTAGTTCAATACACATTGGTTGGTTGTGTTAATGCCACGATAGAAAGTTTGTTGAATCATATTATCCATCATATCATTGTTGGGACATTCCTTAACCATTGTTCTATAACATTCCTATATCTCGTGTAGTGGTTAATTTGGCTCTTGCTTGAATGCCAAAATCTCATCCCAAAGTGTAACCATGTGCCCCAGAGAGAAGAACTTAGAAATAAACTTTTCCGCCAATTCATTCCAAATGTGAATGGAGTGATTTGGCAAACGTTCCAACCAATCTAAAGCTTTCCCCCGCAGAGAGAAGGGAAAAAGCCTTAGCCTCAATGCATCCTCAGAGACATTTGTTTGTTTTCTCCCCCAACAAATGTCCATAAACCCCTTCAAATGTTTGTATGCATTTTGACTTGGAGCACCGGTGAAGAAACCTCGTTGCTCTAGCAAAGTGAACATCACATTGGTGATTTGAATCTTGCCCGCCCTAATATGGTAAGGGACTATTGCACTAGCATATTCTTCATTGGGTAACACCTGGTGTAGAGCCACTCATGGTGGAGGTGGGGGTGGAGCGTGGACATTGTCATGAGGCACTCGGCCTCTTCTATTGGCTTGAGGTTCAAGAGGAACCTCATCAACTTGCTCATCCTTGACGTCCACATGCCCCAAAGGCATATTTCCGAGCTCATTGTTCGCCATGGTTGTACCTACAAATTCTCAAACAAGTTAGTAACACGGAAAGAAAAAAGATAATCCAAAAACACACCCAAATATATAGCTAACACCATTTTTAACTCCCTGGCAATGGCGCCAAAAGTTGATCACGTCCAATGCACACATCAAAAGAGATATGAATCGGTCGATGCAATAATAAATACACAACTAGGAGTCGGGGTCGAATCCACTAAAAGCTATGATAGGAGTTAGGGGTATATATTTCAAATGAGCAATTGGATTATTTAGAATGCACTTCCACACCAAGGATTTGTTTCTATTCTATTGTTAACTTAATGATTGCAAGATTAAGAAAGAAGACTAAAGAAAATTATTTTTAAGGCTTTTTCAAATGGATAAAAGGCCAAGAGTTGTGACCGTGACCTAGGTATTTGCCTAATGGGATAAAGACTTTAATGCTTGTTTTGTTGATTGGGGTATACTATAGCTCTCAACTCTAAATTACACACTCAATACCTCTTGGTAAGTGAGTGGTTTTGCTCAATTTGGTTTTCTCAAGACCAAATGGTTATCACCCAAAACAGTTGATAAGAGCTCAAGTCGGGTTATTACTATCTCTAGATTGAACCCTTTAATTGGGTTAATCAATTTCTCAATTGACCTAATTCCTTGCTAGCTAAGTTGTCCTAGACTAGGTCCCTCTTTCTCAAGTAGAGACTAAGTCAAATATGCCCGAATTAATGTTTGGAACTCTTAATTATACAATTAAAGCATGAACTAAGCTAAATAATCAACACACAATCATAAACAAGCACTAAATTAGATACCCATAAGGTTTACACACTAGGGTTGGGTCACAGCCTTAGTAAAGGTCTAGCTATTCATAATGGGGTTTGAAGAAAATAAGGAAGAAAAACTAATTAAACTCATAATGAAAGCTTAAAATGATTAAATCTAATGTAAATACAACAAAGTAATGTAAATCTTCCTGAAGTAGTAAAGGGAAACGGCTACAACAACTTTAGATGTTCAAAATTGACCTAATTTTGTGAAACTCATATATTTATGCAAGGCTAAAAATCTTGAACAAAAATGCCCTTTGGGGGGTTCTGTGGCCGCACAATTCCATATGCCGTCCACAGATTTCTTCATCTGGCAGGAAGTGGAGTTTTGCGACCGCACATTTCTGAACTGCGGTCGCGATGCAATCTTCTGCGGCCTCAAATATTTGGACTAAGGCCACAAGGCAACTCTTTAGTAGCCGCACAATACTTGTGCGGTCCGCAATTCACAAAGGCTCCTGGACTTGGTCTTTTTGCATACTCTCTTATCTTTGACTCTTAGCCTAGTTTTGCGGCCGCACAATTTATATGTGGTCTGCACATTGTGCAAAGTTCTGCTAAACTTTTCTTCTTGGTTTGTGGCCGCAGATGGCGGTCTGCAATTTCTTTTGCGGTTGCATAGTTCCTTTTGCGGACCGCACATTTGTGCTTTTGTGCCTTTATTCCCTTGTGCTTCGGGTCACTCCTTTTTTAGTCGAATTTCATATTGGGAGACCAAACTTCCAGCATTCCTACAATTTTGCACAATTTCATTAGTTTTGAGAATACAATTCAATACTTTTGGAATAAAATAAAAGCTAAAAGGCGCTAATAAGCAATCAAAATCCCTACTTATCAATAACCTGTGTACCCACTCATCATGTGTACACAGATTTCACATAACACAAATGAATCAATCAATACTAATCCTAGGGGTAGTTTTCCCACACAAAGTTAGGCAAGATACTTGCCTCAATTAGGCCAGTTCAACACTCGAAAATAGTTGTTCCCTTAAATTTTGCCTCCACACAGCTCAAATCCAACCAAAATCGACTTAATATTATCAAACAATGCTAGGGAAATCAATTACAATAGATAAAGCTAAGATTATTACACTTTTTCCAAAAAATCAACTCGGGGCTCGCCCAGTCAAAACATGGGTCCAATGGTAGATTTTGATTACCCATGACTCCACGGGTTCATATATGTGATTAGTTTCAAAATCCAAGTCCATATCGACTCTCAAAACACAAATTCTAATTTTTCGAAAACTTGACAAAGTTTAACAAACTTTCACTTTGTTTCACATGATTTTGATGTTAAAATCTAAGATATATTGATGGAATATGATTAGAAATAGATTAGAATCACTTACCCAAAGTTTGATGGTGAAAATTCCCTCTCTAAATAGCCTCTTACCGAGTCTAGGGTTCAAAATGAGATAATGTTTTCAAAAATCCCCTCTCCACCCCTTTGTACCAGCTGCGGATGTCGCATTTGCGACACAGTCATTCGCAATTGTGGACCAGGGCTTGCATTTGTGAACCCCGATAACCTTAGTCAACATCGCATTTGTGATAAAAGGCTTCACAATTGCAAAGCTGGGAACATAGCAAAAGCCAAAAGTGTTCGCAAATGCAAACAAAGGCAAAATCTGGCAGGCTTCGCAAATGCGAAGGGGCAGTCGCAATTGTGACATCTGAGCCCCCATTATCACCTTTGCAATTGCGATGCTAGTGCTCTCAATTGCGATACCTGAGAACCAGCAACACCAGCACTCAAATTTTAGTTCAAAACCATTCCGGAACATGTCTGAAACTCATCTGATTTGAAGAGGCCTTCATGGCTAACTTTATCCTAGAAGAGGATAGGGAAACTAAGGCTACAGAGTTCGAACAGCTCAAGCAAGGGAATAAAAATGTGCAAGAGTACATCATAAGGTTAGCTAAGCATGCTCCTCACATGGTTAAGACAGAAAAAGCAAAGATTCGCAGGTTTATTGGCGGTTTGGCTTACCACATTAAGGATACGACATCAGCTGCAGCAGTATGGATGATAGCCTTCTCCTCTGTTGTGGGATTTGCCGAGCACTTAGAAAAAGACAGACAACAAAGGAGAGAAGAAAAAGAGCATAACAAGAAAGTTCGGACAGCGGGCAGGTTTAATGGTACATCCAGCGGAGGTGGAAGGGATTCCTCTAATAAGGAGTCATTAACACCAGCTCAGTCCAGTCATCAGTCAGGTGGTGGGTCTTCTTTCAGACGTACCCAGAGTTATGGAAATCAGTCTCGCCAGAATCAGAATTTTAGGACACCATCCTCACATAGCCAGAGTCATGCTGAGCAACATTCACACCAACAAAGTCTTTGTGGAACATGTAAATGGCAACATTCAGGTCATTGCAAGCTTGGGTTTCATGGTTGCTATCATTGTGGAGACATTGGTCATATAAAGGCCAACTGCCCAAAGTTACGTCGTAAATTTAGTGGTGGATCAACTCGTCCTTCTAGTTCCTCAACTACTGCAGTTGCACCACCTCAGGCTCATGGTTCTCATAATCAGATCGGGCATGGGGCAAGCAGAGGTGCATATCGAGTTACTTAGGGAGAGGGACAACCCCGGTTGTTTGCTACACTTGATCGTTAGAGTACAGTGGCATCTGTAGAAGTTATTATAGGTATACTTTTAGTCTGCTCATATAATGCTTATGCCATAATGGATCTAGGTTCAATGTTTTCATATGTGACTCCATACTTTGCAATTAACCTCGGGCTAGAACCTGGACAACTTAGTGAGCCATTCCTAGTATCTACTCCAGTTGGCAAGTCAGTGAAAGTCACTAGAGTCTATAGAGGTTGTATAGTTTCAGTCCAAGGTCACAACACCAAGGACGATCTCATAGAATTAGAAATGGTGGATTTCTATGTGGTCATGGGTATGGATTGGTTGTCTTCCTGCTACGCCATGTTAGATTGTCATGCCAAGATGGTCAGGTTTCAATTTCCAAATGAAGAAGTCTTAGAGTGGAAGGGTAGTTCAGCATCACTTGTAGGTAAGTTTATTTCTTACCTTAAGGCAAAACGAATGATCGGTAAGGGGTGTCTCGCCTATTTGACTCACATCGTTAATCCAGAATTAGAACCACCAGCTCTTCAGTCACTGCCAATTGTTAGAGAATTTCCAAAAGTTTTCCCAGATGACCTTCCCGGACTTCCTCCTGAAAGAATCGTAGACTTTGGCATTGATCTCATGACAGGTACTCAACCCATATCTATACCTCCTTATAAGATGGCTCCAACAGAACTTAATGAGTTGAGAGAACAATTGAAAGACCTTCTTGATGAGAGCTTCATCAGGCCGAGTGTTTCACCGTAGGGTACCCCTGTCCTATTTGTCAAGAAGAAAGATGGGTCTCTCAGAATGTGCGTCGACTATCAGCAGTTGAATAAAGTTACCATTAAGAACAAGTACCCACTGCCAAGAATTGATGATTTATTTGATCAGCTTTAGGGTGCAAAGTACTTTTCAAAAATAGACTTGAGGTTAGGGTACCATCAGTTGAGAATCAGAGAAGAGGATATATCTAAAACAACCTTTAGAACTCGCTACGGGCACTATGAATTTCTAGTAATGTTCTTCGGGTTGATAAATGCTCCAACTGCATTCATGGACCTCATGAACAGAGTTTTCAATCCATTCCTTGATACCTTTATTATCGTGTTTATAGACGATATTTTGGTATACTCTAAGAGCAAGGAAGATCACGCAGAACACCTCAGAATAGCCTTACAGTCCTTGAAGGAAATGAGCTTTATGCCAAGTTTTCAAAATGTGAGTTCTAGTTGCAGTCAGTGGCATTCTTAGGCCATGTGGTATCTAGCGAAGGAATAAAAGTAGACCCTCAAAAGACAGAAGCAGTCAAGAACTGGCCTAGGCCAACAACGCTAACTGAAATCAGGAGCTTCTTGGGGTTAGTTGGCTACTATAGAAGGTTTGTAGAGGGGTTTTCCTCACTTGCAGATCCATTAACTAAGTTGACTCAGAAATCAGTTAAGTTCCAATGGTCAGACACTTGTGAGTAGAGTTTTCAAGAGTTAAAGAAGGGGTTGACCATTGCACCTATGTTAACCTTGCCTACAGGTTCGGGTGGGTTCACAGTGTATTGTGATGCCTCCAGAGTGGGCCTTGGTTGTGTTCTTATGAAAAATGGAAAAGTTATTGCTTATGCTTCCAGGCAGTTAAAGAATCATGAAAAGAACTACCCCAGACACGACTTGGAGCTTGCAGCAGTGGTGTTTGCATTAAAAATATGGTAACACTACCTTTATGGCGAACATTCTGAAGTGTTTATAGATCACAAAATCCTCTAGTACATTTTCAAGCAAAAAGAACTAAATTTGAGACAGAAAAGGTGGCTCGAGTTATTGAAAGATTATGACATCAATATCCTTTATCACTCGGGAAAACCTAATATGGTAGCAGATGCACTTAGTAAGAAGTCAATGGGTGTCTTGGCCCATCTTGCAGTACAAAGGCGGTCTTTGGGTCGAGAAATTAAAAAACTAGCAAATAATGGAATTAGATGGATGAGACCAAAGAAGGAGATATAACTGCTTATGCCTTAGTGCAATCCCCCCTTGTTGCGCATGTTAAGACTAAGCAAGATGATGATCCGTACTTAGTGAAATTAAAAGAATGAGTCAGAAGCAAAGAAATCACTACTTTCACTCTAGGAAGTGACGGAGTTTTGAAGTTGAATGATTGGTTATGTGTTCCTGATGTAGATGGTCTTAGGAAGGCCATAATGGAGGAAGCTCATAGTTCGAGGTACTCTATCTACCCAGGAGCTACCAAAATGTATCTATATTTGAAAGAGTTGTATTGGTGGAAAGGCATGAAGAAACAAGTAGCAGATCATGTTGCTAAATGTTTGAATTGCCAGCAAGTCAAAGCCGAGCATTAGAGGCCTGGTGGCCTAGCTCAAGATGTAGAGATACCACAGTGAAAATGGGAGATAATTAATATGGATTTTGTAGTAGGTCTACCTCGCACGTACCGTAAGCATGATTCAATTTGGGTTATTATAGACTGACTGACAAAGTCCGCACATTTCCTACCAGTAAAGACGACAGATTCTGCAGAGCAGTATGCGTAGTTGTACATCAACGAAATAGTCTGATTGCATGGTACTCCAGTTTTAATCATATCTCACAGAGGCCCTCAGTTCATGGCGCATTTTTGGCAGGCATTTCAGAAAAGATTAGGTACCAAGGTCAATTTGAGTACCGCTTTCCATCCACAGACCGATGGTCAGGCAGAAAGGACCATTCAGACTCTCGAAGATATGTTGCGTGCATGTGTTATAGATTTTGGAGGTAATTGGGATGATCACCTGCCACTTATAGAATTTGCTTACAATAACAGCTATCAGGCTAGCATCGGTATGGCTCCTTATGAAGCATTGTATGGGCGGAGATGCAGGTCTCCAGTGGGTTGGTTTGAACCAACAGAGGTGTCGTTGATTGATCCAGAGTTTGTTTGTGAGTCCTTGGAGAAAGTTCAGCTAATTAGAGAAAGACTTAAAACATCTCAGAGTCGTCAAAAGTCTTATTCTGACAAGAGGCATCGTGAGTTAGAGTTCATGGTTGGTGTTAAGGTGTTTTTGAAAGTTTCACCAATGAAAGGAGTTATGAGGTTTGGTAAGAAAGAGAAACTTAGCCCTAGATTTATTTATTGGACCTTATGAAATTCTAGAAAAGAAAGGAAACGTGGATATAAGATAGCGCTACCCGTTGAGTTGTCCTCTGTTCATCCTGTCTTTCATGTGTCTATGCTTAGAAAGTACATTCATGATGAGTCGCATATAATACCTGCCGATACCATAGAAATTAAAAAAGGCTTGACTTATGAAGAGGTACCTATAGAAATTCTCGATAGGTAAGTAAGAAAGTTGAGAACAAAAGATTTAGCATCGGTAAAAGTTTTGTGGAGTAATCATGATTCAAAAGAGGCTACGTGGGAGGTCGAGGAAGATATGAGAAAGAAATATCCATATTTATTTGAGGAAAAAGTTATGTGAACCTAAGTTTGGTTTGACATTTATATTTCATTTATTAAATACAAGTTAGCAAGTGTTTCTGTCCTTCCTAGATTATACTTAGTTGTTGTAGTAATTTAGTTTATGTCGTAGTATATTTAATTCATTAAAGTGATTTACTTGTTCTAGAGTTGTTGTGCTTTAGATTCTTGTTAGTTATTATGGTACCTCCTTGCCGGAGCGTGAGTAACTAATTTATGAGCTGTGTATGGTGCCTATGAATGGCCTGCTATGATATATTTGGTTGTTGTTGGTGTAGTTGTGGTATTTGTCACATGGATATTTTTTTGGATAGTTTCATTTACAAGGGAAACTCTGCCGAAATTTTTGAAAATTTAGGGAATTAGCCAAAATTTTGAGTCACTTAGAAGAGTGAGTAATGCAAGAAAACTTAAGAGGTTCAAGGACTTAAGGAATGATTGTTAGCTTAAGAATTAGGCCCTAGCAACATTCGAGGACGAATGTTTTTAAGGAGGGAAGAATGTAATACTCCTCAAATCTATAAAAGTTTCAAGATGCGCTAATGATAGAATTAAATTATTATTATTATTATTTTTTTTTTTTTTTTTTTTTTTTTTTTTTTCTTGCCTATAGTGGAAATATATATATATATATATTGGATATACAATTAGAAAATATTAATAATTTTAATATTGCTAATTATTAAAAGTGGGTATCATTAAATACTAGTTAAGTCAAAAAAAAAGGGAAAAAGGACTTAAAGCCCATGAAATGAGTTGTTGGCAAACAAAGCCATTAAGGCTTAGGAAAATAAGGTTCATTCACGTATAGAAAAAAGGGCAGAAGGCCAAATAATAGAACATTAGGTGCTGTCATTCTCGTAAACAAAGACAGAAGGCAAAAACACGTCCTATTCACTCACAAAACAGAGAGCCGGGCAACAGAAAATCTAGGTTTCTTTACAAATTACTAATTCTTGAACTCAGGTATATAAAAATTTTTATTGTCAATTACCCTACAGTAGTAATAGGTAAGAATTGAATAGTTAATTCCCTTCTTCCTCTATATCAACAATAAATTTCATATCTAGGTGTAGTACTTTAAAATTGATTAAAATGCACTGGTTGTTGTAGAATCAATTGTTTGACTGGTGTCAATTGGATTGGGGCCTACGTATCGGCTCGAGAAGTTTTGAGATGGGTTGATATAACCCTTTACTAAAGTGGTTTAACTCACAAAAGTACGCACACAAGGTGTTTGATGAATTGCATAAAAGAGTTAATATATACTTAATTGTAGTAGTAAGTACCTATTAGCTTAGAATTATTTTCTAGCTAAAGTTTAGATGATTATTTTGATATGTGCATAAATTTCAGATTTTTATGTTATTCTTATATGCCATTTTCATGTTGAAAATTCATGAAGGATCAAGAATCTTTATAAATACTTTTGAATGTTTATTTTATTCTTATGTCATGCTTTACATTCAAGGATACCAGTATGAGTATGTATAAAAGATTTAGACTTGAAAAGTCACAAGAAGAAGTTTTAGAATGAAAAGATTTTTGGGAGTATCCTTTATTCTAAGAAGGGGTCATCATCCAAGCCTAGGGTCCTGACCAAGGCGTTGACTTCCTAAAACTACTTGTGCCAAAGTAGGGAGTACATGAGCCGAGGGTCTCGTTGATGAGAATTTACTTAGCCATACTAAGGTTTGAGACATGGGCGCTGAGAACCATGAAGCAAGTGACACCTCGTGGATTGGGCCTATTCGATCAGGTTGGGATCGAACACGTGCCGATCACACGGTGACTGAGACAAAATTAAGCCAGGATAGTTGAAAATCTCAAAGTATAAAGTGAAGTATTTTTTTATAAGAAAGAAAAATAAAAGAATTTCTTTTAGAATATTCATAAACTACTATTATGCAATTATTTTAGAATTATTCTTATAAGCTTTATGTTTTACATGCATTTAGAACATTTGCTCGTAATGTATATGTTATTAAAGTTTCGCCCCCTGTTGTTGAGACTCACTGAGTACAATGGATGGTACTGACGTTCTCTTTTGGGAACCTACGTTGGTCTGTGGTACAACATAGGAACCAGTTTTGTAGGCGAGCAGGCTACGAGTTAGGATTTCCTTCTCTTCTAGTGTTTTTGGTGAGCTCCGCTTTTATTCATGGAGTATTCCTTTGAGTCATCTTTATTTAATTATTTCTTTATTTTCTTAGAGAACTGGCCAGAAATCTCATGTTCTGAACAGTACGTCAGTTTATCAGTAGAGGCTTCATAAACATAGTCGTTGGGTTAAGATT